CATCAACAGGCAAAAATGTTTTCTAGAGACAGGAGATTGATATCTGCCAGGCAGATAAAACCATAATGAATTGCTGATACGATACAGTAATTTGATTCAGTAACTGATTGGTTATATTGATTAGTTGATTTGATTTCCTACCCAAAATCCATTAGAGCCATTTCTAATCAGAGTAGCTAATCCTGTGATAAATATGCAATGGAATGGCCTGCATTAAGGACCCAGCCTGTTTCTTTTTTTGAGATCAAATTGACATCATCTTGTTAGGCCATAACAGCCAGTTAGATTCCTTAAGAAGAGCCTGTGAGGCCAATCCATGATAGCAAAACCCATCCCTTGTTACATGTCCCCAGGAGCATCTCGTCATTTACCTCTGAAGTTGCCTTATAACCATGGACAGATCTTTGCAAATTTGTCTAATCAGGATTCTTTCAGAGTCCTGCAAAATTACTGGGAAAAGAATCCCAGCAAAATATTATTTGTTGTTGGATTCTCGAAATTGGAGCACCTACCTATATACATTTGTAATCATTTACCCACCATTTCTACTATTGCCAGAAAAACAGGCTGCTGTGAAGAGTATTTTCAAACGATAGGGAAAAATATGGTACCATAGAATAGCGCTATAATATGAAAATTACAAGCCATAAGCCTTTTTAGAGTGTTTTTCCTGATTATAATTGCCTGGATTTCTGCACCAGAGAAAAATAAATCAGAGTCAGACCCAATAATTCTTCTTCATGCAGCCGATTTAGAGGGTTGAACTTGGTTTGGGGAGACCCCGTGTTAAGTCCATCCTCCCCCATAAAAACTCAAAGGATGATTTTGTAAAAATCCTTTTCTCCCCAATTTATCTTATTGTAGAAAAAAAAAATTAAACTGTGCCATTGTAGGAGGCTGCGCTCCTGAGGAAAATACACACATCAAAATCAATAAATAAAATTTCACAGATTTCTTACTTTGTGGAGATCTTGCAGACTTGTTTAAAGGCCATTTAATCATCTTTATTGATTTTTCCCCCCCCATGGAGAACAAAGCATCAAATGGAGAGCACATCCAAGCATTTCCTCAGAGTATTTACTAAGGCCACGTCATGATGATCTAAAAAAATTAATACTGAATCAACCCAGCTGTAAAGCATGATTTATGCTTTGCTACGGCTGCTCATGCCAGAATTATTCAGACAATTTTGTTTATATCCCAGTTAGCAACATTACTATTTCCTTTGTGGCAGATGGGCAGAAGGAGTCAGCACTGTGAGACATCATTTTTTTTACAGCAATGAGATGTCAGTTCAGATTCCTCCTCAGCTGTGCATCATGTTTTTAGGTCAACTACTAATTTATTTATTTATATACCACATTTAGAAACTGCCCCTCTCCATCACAGAGCGGTTCTGTCCAACTTACTTTCTCAGTTTTTTTGCCATACAGAAGTTATCCCATTCACAAAATGGCTGCTGTGGGAGCCGGGTCTAGTAACTTACCATTCATTTGCCAGAATAAAATTAGGAGAGTGTTTCCTCCCATTCATTTGTCTCTCTCTTGTTTCTGGGCAATTCTTTCCAATTTTTTGAAAAAATGTACTTTCGAACAAAGCACTGCTGTACAACCATCTATGTTTTTTTAAAAAAAAAAAAATTCTAGGAACAAGTATGAGACTTGAAGGCATTTTTGAAAATAAAAAGATTACGCCACAGATTGGTACTGTGCAGCACGGCAGCTTCCTATCTCTTTATATAAAAGCGAAATCCACTCACTCATCACAAAATCTCCAGAACGGTAAAGCCTACAGACTTGAAATTTGGCACATACGTTCCTCTTGGTTTCTAGGCACTCGCTAACAAAGGATTTTTCGAAATGACTATCAGATCATTAGTATTTCATATACAGTATATTTATATTAACACGCTCTGATGCTAAGGAGTTAGACGTTCTACTCCCCCTCCCTACCTGAAAAGTTCCAACTGCCACTTGCCTAACATTCCGTTACCTCAGTTCAAATTGGTAGATGTTCCACTCCTTTACTCAGGAGCTGTCTGGGGCTCCTTACAGTATGAATAGAATAGAATAGAATAGAATAGAATAGAATAGAATAGAATAGAATAGAATAGAATGGAATGGAATGGAATGGAATGGAATGGAATGGAATGGAATGGAACAGAACTCTTTATTGACCAAGTGTGATTGGATACACAAGGAATTTGTCTTGGTGTATACGCTCTTGGTGTACATAAAAGAAAAGGGAAGATACATTTGCTACCATACCAAAATGTCTACGCCTTCCACCTATGGAACTGCTTCCAGACTCAAAGACGGCGGGAGAGATATTTCTTTATGTGTTTCAATCACCAACCACCACTGAGGCAACGGATTGTGAACCTAATTTCTCTTGCATAGTGTCCCAGCCCCAACTCACTTCTTACACTGACCTCCTCAGTTCAGACGAATCTGTTTCTTCCACTGTAACACCAGTTAAAAGGGAAAAGACTGTCTTTCTGCTGCCTGGAAGTACAATGGATGCTTCAAAATGACGTATTTTGGAACCAGAGAGGTGAAGGAGGGAAATTTTATGCCAAGATTCAAAATGCAGGGGCAGGTCTACCACAGGATAGGGAGTATCATGGCGGGGCCTCAGCAGCAACCTTCATTTCTCTAGATATACTTTGTTGGCAGTGATGACAATGAGAGTCTGCCAAGACCATGGGGATGCTACAATGGTCATAAGTGTGAAAAATGGTAATAAGTAGCGAAACACTGGTATCCAGCTAGTTTATCTTATAAAACCCAAACAGAGTAGAGAGCTTTGTGGGCTAGAGTGAAAAATGAACCAGTTTGGTCCAGTGGCTAAGACATCAGGCTAGAAAGCAGGACACCAGGTGTGAGATATGTCTTCCTTCCACTCAGATGATCTGCCATGCTGCTTCAGCTCTTGTAGTTCATCTGGATGCCACAGGAACATTCTTGAAGTGAGAGACCAGATGATGTCAACCAGTCTAGTTCATTTTTTATTTCAGCTATCAACCAAAGAATCAATTGTATTCCTGGCAGGAAAACCTGCAAACTCTTGCAAGACTTCATGAAACAGGCAGCCTCTTTTGGATGGACCATGCTAATAGGTCCTAAGACAGGGATGTCAAACTCGCGGTGTCATGTTGTCTTCACATGATGTATCATGACTTCCCCTCCTTTGCTAAACTCGGGGTGGGCTTGGCCAGTGTGTGACGCATCCGTCCCATGGGCCGCGAGTTTGATACCCCTGTCCTAAGAGATCCACTGCCCCTTGGAGATGAGATGAACACACTAATTCAGCTTAGGTCCTGCAGGGAACGAGGCCTCTTCAGAATCTTCTGGATGTCTCCAAGTGGCATAGCCAGTCTTCTTCTTGCATACTTTCCAGAAGTTAAAACCTTTGTCTGAAAATTTTTCATTATTGATGTGATTTTAAAATTAGCTTCTCCCAACATTTTTTTATTTTGTTTTCTTTTTTTCTTTAATTTAGGTTTAGGATGGCTTAGTGGGTTGCTATGTGCTTTTGTGCATCATTGTGAAATTATTATTAGTTATAGTTAGTAACTAGTTATTAGTTAGCTATAGTTAGTGAACAGCAATATCCAATTCAAATAAAAACATAATGTGCCATAAAGCCACTCTTAGCTTTCTTTCCTGCTCTTGGCCCTGAAAGGGGTGGCATGGATTCTCAGTGGTTAAGACAATGGGCTTGTTGGCCCTGGTTCAAGACCTGAGCTCACCCCAGCTCCTGCCAACCTAGCAGTTCAAAAACATACAAATGCAAGTAGATAAATAGATACCATTTTGGTGGGAAGGTAACAGTGCTCTGTGATGTCATGCTGGCCACATGATTGCGGAAATTCAGCGCTGGCTCAATGGCCTTGAAAGAAGATGAGCACTGCCCCCACTCAACTATCAGAGTAAAATCCGCAGGGGACTCCTTGGCCCTGAAAGCAGGTTCATGTTAAGCAGACATTAAAGTGGTTTGTAATGAAATACTTTTAAGCAGAAATATTCTACATGGAAGAAAAGTTTAGATATCTACAGCTTTTGAGGATCTGGTTCAGAGGCACTTACCTGGTTGAGAACAGGTGTTATTAATTGTAATATCAGCTGTTATTATTTCAGGCTGTCAGTTCCTTTGACAAGAGAGTACAAAGTGACCTCTGCCTAGCCAGGGGGTAAGAGCATTCTTTTGCCTCACAAACTCCATTTATTTGTGGGGTTCTTGTGGATGCCATATCCTGGTGAACGGCACAAGTGTAAAGTAAGCCAATGTAATATGTTTTTCTTTCATCTAGCTTTAGTTATAATATGCCAACATTCTTTGCCTCCCCCACCCCAGCTAAAAGCAGTGGGAAGAAGATGAGGGAGACAGAAATTCTCCATTTCAAGAATCTGATCTATACTGATTTGGTTGCCCACAAATTCCAGAGCATTTGTCACAAAATGGCTTTCAAAAATGTAAGACTCTTGTTAGTGTAGAATTCTGGCTAGACTGTCTAGTTTTCTACTTCACAATGCAACACCTGCATAACAGCAAAAGACGGATAGTGCTTCTTAAGAGAAAAAAATATATACTGATATATTTTCACAGTTCACCACTCCTGACAACTGTTAGAGGAAGCCAAGGCTTCCCAGAAACATACGTTTTAATGCCAGCAGTTTTCAAAATATTTTTGGCAGCAGCCTGATGGATTTTCATTCATACAGCAATCAGAAGAAGATGACAAAAGAGGCAGTTTTAACTAGAACTCTAGTTGCAAATGGTTCCTCCAATAGGAGAACCACTCTTACAGGGGGAAAAAATCACACCATTAACTTCTTACTTTTAATTTGCATTCAAGGCGAAATAGTAGGCACTTGAGAAAAAACATCAAATAGAGAGCAGCAAGAGAAGGAAAGTAAAAAGTAGATATGTCCTGTCATTTGGAGATAACATTTAATGAACCACCCAAGCAGGAAAAAAAAGAGAGAATACAAACAATCTTATTTTTGTTAATATTTTAATGTTACATTTGCAGCATAAATAAAAAGGCACATTATATGTTTGGTAAGAACAGTGGCTGAAAGAACAAGTTGCTAAGTGGCAGGGTTTCGTGTATTTATTCATTTTTAAAGTTTTAAAAATAGAAGAATACAAAGATGAAATGCCACAAAACTCACCCAGGCCTGTGGTAGCCAACACAGGACCACGGGAACCACGGGACAGATAAAATGCTAGCTTGTGAGGACCTGCTCACAGGAGCACTTCGGTGAATTATTCGTTGGCTTACCAGTCAAGAGGATACATCACTCCATATTTCACAACACCCCCTCAAGCCTATTAATTCTGTCAGGCAAAAGAAGGGCTGGAACCTTAGATCTACCTACGTTTCAGGAAGTGACACATCAACAAGGCCACTGCAGAAGGAACGGCAGCCATGGAGGAGAAAAGAGCCGATATATACCTATATAGTTCTATATATATTTATAGATATGCATTTCATTTTATGAGATACTAAACCCTCTTTTGTGGTTAAGCATTCCGGGATCTCTCTTCCCCACCCTCAATTTATTGATCGTAAAAAAAAGCTCTCCATATACTATTTCTACATTTGAAAAGATAGCAAAAACAAGGCAGGCAGCTATTACTGAAAGAAGGAAGGCATCCTAAGGGATCTTGCAGAACAGCCATTTTGCTACAAGAAGGGAAGACTATGGATATGTAGGCAGGTGGGATCCATGGGAGAGAAACCCAAAGATTGTGGAGATGTGAGAGGAAGCACCCTGGACAAATCAATGGTGATCAAACATGACATATACATCACTTTGGATGATTTGACAACCTGGAACCAAATGGTAGACTTATGGGGTGTTCACATTCACAAAAGCAAGGTCTATTATACAGGAAGAGAGCTTTCTTGGATAAATATACCCTTTTCTCTCTCAACAGCATGAGGAAAGGTTAGGGACCTGGGACAACCGGTTTATGACCAAGCTGCAAGTAAACACAACTGTTCCACTCCCATCTCCAAAAGATGAAGAGTGAGAAAAGTTACAACTGAATGCATTTGTGATCAGGGTTTTGCTTTAAGGCAGGTTTACAAATGGGTAGGAGAATCATTAAATATATTTATTACAGTTGTTGCAACTGACATTCAGCTGCCGGGATTTAAGCACTGAATATAGAGTTTAGCACAAGAGAAAGGAAGGAAAATATCTGTTACTGACTCAGATACTACTGCCCCGTAACTGTTATTCCAGCTCCTGTATATCCGTTGCTAGAATGTGGATATTCTTTGCAAAATTGTTATGATGTAGCCCCTTCAATCAGATTGAAGGAAAGCTATAATAGAAGTACTTTCGTCAAAGAATTTGAGCTCAGTCATATCACTCAACATACAGATTCAGAGAGAACTGCTTCAAGTATTGGAAAGTATCCTGAGCCCATCTATTGCACTGCAGTAGCCCCAACAATGTGCTTACTTGTTGAAAATAGGCCTTCTTTTTCAAATGATTCTCCACATACTCCAATACTGAGCGTAGGATTACACCTTTCCTACAGCTTCAATACTGGCTCCTTAAAGGGCTTCAGTGCTTGCATGCTAATTCTCCTACATAAATGCAAATGGAAAAAAACCATCTTTCAACAACATTCTTTTATGGGAATCGTTATAAAGTAAAAATCATTAGCATGGGATACCTGGATTTCTCCGCTTGGCTTCCCTAGTCTTAGTACTGTAGAGAACCTGGGACCTTAGTCTTATTTCTACCATAATATTATTTACTTGTTATGCCTCACCTTTTTACTTGAGCAAGTTAAGAAGCAATTTCAGTGGGATATCTCCAGCAGATGTAAACACGGAGACAATTTCTAATGGACAGGCAGTTCCTCAGTTAAATCCTAAAATGCATTAAAGATCAACAGCAATACCTTAAAATGTGCACTCTAAGCCCCACTGACAAACCAGTGCAAATCTTTTAGTGTAGGATCACGCAATCTCAGTAACATATGCTCCTTGACTTAGTTACTACTCACAAATCTAGTTGAAGATCAAGGATCAGTCCCAAAATTGCAGACTTCTTTCAGAGGGTATGCAATCTTATTCAAAACAGACTGAGTCTTAATTCCAAAGTTCCCTTAGTTACTGATTTAACAGCATCTGTCTATTGTCTGAATATTAATCCCTGAATTTAACTTGCATTCAAGGATACTAGTTTCTTTTTGAAGCTTGAAGAATTAGGAACAAAAGAACCACACAACACTTCTACTCTAATAAATCATTGGATGACTTCCCCCACCCCCAGCAATTTTAGATAAATGTTGAAGAGCACAGGGGACAAAACAGAACTCTATGGGACACCATATAGGCCAGTGTTGGCGAACCTTTTCGGCACTGAGTGCTGAAACGGGAGTGCATGCGCATATGGGGGAGCACCAAATACCAGAAGAGCAGCTTTCCAGCATACACGTGTGGGAGCGGCAGAAACCAGAAGAGCAGCTCCCTGGCGTGCGCACCAGCCACCTGGTCTTCTGGTTTCTGGCACGCATGCGTGTGTGAAGAACAGATGGCCGGCACACGTGCGTGTGCTGGAAACTGGAAGCACATCTTCCTGGCGCACCTTCTGGTTTCCGGCACTCCCGCACACGTGAAGACCAGCTGGTTGATGTACATGTCCATGCCGGAACCCGGAAGAGCAACGGGTGACAGTTGGCATGCCCGGAGAGATGGCTCTGCCTGCTACTTCCGGCACACGTGCCATAGGTTCACCATCACAGATATAAGCTAATGGCCATAGGATCAAGCTAGTTATTTTCAGCACCACCTTCTGGAAATTGCCCAACAGGAAAGACTGAAGCCACTGCGAAACAACTACATCAACTAGTTTAGAAGCAATCATGGCAGATGGTCCTGAAAGGCATCACAAGATCCAGACAAATTAGCTGAGACATACGCCCCATATGCCCCCTATTATCTAATTTCTCCTAATCTTCCAAAGCAGACTCTGTAGCCTATGTTGCCCAAAAGACAGACTGAAATGGTTCTAGAAAAGGAAACAGTTCTGAGAGTACCATTTATCATTTTCACTCTTAGAACTGAAGAATATATTTCAACACATCTACTGGGGCTTCCATTATAATTACTGTTTGGCCAAAGGATTCGTCTCCCATTTTTATAGCTTTCTGTCAATGTGGTTTTAAACTGGCAATAAATAAATAAATCAAACAACCAATTACTTAATTGCAGACTAACTTCAAACAGAACTTAGGGTGAAAACCTCTCTTCTTATCCAATACTTGAATTCTTTATTATTATTATAGAAGATAAGTATTCTGTGACATGCAATGTCTTGGCTAAGCATCAGTCAGCTCACAGATCTGTAAAGAGCTTCTGTCTGGGGGGCCAGTAATGAACCTGAATGCTGCTGCTGCTGCTGCCTTTTTTTTGCTAAACTTGGTCCATATGCTGCTGGGAAGAAGTCAGTGTGCAATACGTTGTTGAAAAGAGGGAGGTCTAGGACAATTGATCACATACACATGACCATGCCCACTTCACCATGGCTCCCTAACCCAGCTGACCCACCGTGGTTGTTTGTCCCTGGCTGACCCTCCATGAACACTTAACTGCGACCCCCCACTCCATCCAGGGAACCCACCATGGGTCCCACCATGGGTCCACAGCTGGCCTTCCCCTGGTGCTGGAGAGAAGTGCTAGAGTTAAAATGAGTAACAGAGCCAAACTCTGGTGGACCTTGGTCAAGAACCACCACAGAGAGAGAAAGAAGTGGAAATTCTCACTTTGTGCTGGCTTCCAAGGCCAAAGGTCCTCAAAGAATTCTGTTTTTCACAAGTCCGTGGCTGAGCTCATCATCCATTTAAGCCATAGATTGAAAAAAATACATATTCTATCTTTATAAATATTTCAAGGTGGAGAACATACATAATACTTCTTCCTTCAATTTCCCCCAGAAAATCCCATGTGAGGTGATTTGGGCTAAGAGAGAATGACTGATCCAAAGTTGCCCAGCTAGCTTTCATACCTTAATGGGACTAGAAGTCCCAGATTCCTAGATTCTAGCCTGATGCCTTAACCACTAGACCAAAGATAATTTGTTCAGTTTGGTCCATCAGTACTGAGTGAACACTGTCATTGTAGTTCATAAACTTAGTATATTGTGGTTTGTTCATGAAACTATGGCTTAAACAGATGCATAAATCCAACCAATGACTTGTTTAAAATATGAAGAATGCAGTCTTGGAAGACATGAAATTTTCTTCCTCTTTAGAATATAACATGAATGTCATCTAGTGAGGAAAGAATAGCATTCCAAGTCACAATATATTATTCGCAAGAAATAATCCTCTTAAGTACACACACACCATATAGTGCTGAAAAGGAAATGATTTTGTAAAGAGATTACAGGTGCCAATCAATCAGCTGGATATGCCAATAAGCAGAACTTGGAAGGGCTTTGCCTTGTCCTCAGACCTTGATTAGAATGGCAATCCATTACCGGCTAGAGCAACTTTAGCAACTTTTAAGATATGTGGACTTCAACTCCCAGCATGCACCCATCTTAAAGTTGCTGAGGTTGCGAGACATTGCCCTAGAGCAGTGTTTCTCAATCTTAGCAATTCTATGACATGTGGACTTCAACTCCCAGAATTCCCCAGCCAGCAAGTCTGGCTAGGAATTCTGGGAGTTGAAGTCTGCACATCTTAGATTTGGCAAGATTGAGAAACGCTGCCCTAGAGGAAAGAGATTTTGGCAGACAGCTGATGGGTGGAGGAGTGAAAAAGCAGGAAGGTAAGATAGAAAGAATGATTGTTCAACAGGAGCAGAATTCCCCATAGAAAATATATTCAATAAGTTTGTAAAAATTGCCTGAGGTCAGGAAACATACCGTTCGCTAAAATAGGATGATACAATTAAAAGAATGGAAGACGAAAGTAGACCAGAAGCAGTTGACCATCCCTATCTAGCAATTTGAACAGTGTCATAAATGGGTGAGAATCCAATAAGCAAGCTGACCACGGAACCCAAACAAGAATCCTCTTCGGTAGACAACAACAAAAAACACAAGGGGAATCACATGCACACTTACACAAGCATGTTTTTGCAGCTGTTGGTAATTTTGAAAAAATATACATTTAACACATAATTATCCTAAGAAAAAAGTACCGGAAAGCATTAACTGTCAACACTTTATACGATGAGTAACTCCTATCCTTGCTTTCTATTCAAAGATTCCTTGATGTGCCAGTACTACAGGTATACTGGAGACGGATCACTTGGGGCAAAATAATTTTCCATCATGAGTTCCAGAATCTTCTTTATATGCAACTATTGTAATCTCCCTTTCTGTTGGTGTGGATAAGCGAATTTATTACAGCTTCCCCATAAGTTACAAACAAGCAATGGTTATATTCAATAGTAGACTGTTTGTTGGAATACAAAAGGATTACTTTATGTGTCCATAGGTGTTCTATGACAGCAGGGGTGGTTTTGTGCACAACCTAGATCCCACACATGCACAGATGAAGCTTTGCTCACTCGCCCGTCGCTTGCATAGCCTGTTTCCTAACAGGCCAGAGATTGGTACCAGTCCATGGCCTGGGGTTTGGGGACTCCTGTTCTATCAGAAGACAGACACTGACAATCAGGAGAATGTAACATAGGGCAGCTTGTCCAGAAGTAGGGAGAGCATAATGAAGTCTGCAATAACAGAAGTCTATTTTTGGCTGCAAGTGTCTCCTACACAACCCTGATACTTATATGGAAAGTATGGCCGCCATAATGTTATTTGCACCAAATCCTTATGGATTTTGAGTTACTAGTGGAAGCACCACTCTCTAGGACTAGGTCTTGTGTGCTGAAATGCACACTGTTATACTGAAACAGACATAAAGCCTGGCTCAGATAAATACGAACCATAATGTAACTTTTTTGCTTAGCATAATGTGTGAAAGAGTCCCCTACTACGGTATGAGTGAAACAGTTTCTCATAGAGATGGGCAATCTACACCAATAGAACTAGAATGGGTTGGGATATTGCATTTTCCCAAGGAGCTGAGATACACTGCAATATTTCACTAAGCAGCAACTAGCGGTATTGTATTTCTATTAGAGACATTTACCAGAATAAGTTTTTTTTTTTTTTACTATTATTACTGTAACATTCAAAAGGAAAAAACAAAAAAAGGTAAGATAAATATCTGAGCCTATCCAATAAAAGGGTGTTTCCTGATTCTGTTCTACAAAACTTCAGTATCTCTTTAGAATGATAAACGAAACTGTTCAGAGGTAAAGGCCACATACACAAGAATGGATCCAACAATTACTGGTATGAACTACTGTAGTTCTAATGAAATCAGAAGAACATATGAAAAATTACTTAAACTTTGCCACGAGAAGAGAAATGAAAGATTTTGAAAGCTGTTTGCAATTTGTTGGAGATGGGGGCGGGGAGTATTTAAAAGAAATCTATTCATGATTTGATAGATCCTTGATATGAGTTTTTCCAGCCCAGGCACTGCCATTTGTGAAAACTGCTATATAAGGAAGCTTATAGAGCCAACTTCCTCATGAAGCTTATTTAAATGCTGACGTTTAATTACCAAGAGACAGATTCACATGTACTAGGAATGTACTACTTATGGAAGATTATGGTACTTCTCCTTCTCATAGAAGAAGCTTTTAGTTCAGTGAAATCCCAATCCACTAGTTTCTAGGCTTTTTTTCCAGCAGCCAGCAAGCTCCCTGATGCCCATTGGGAGACTAAGGAGACTAAGGCTCTCCCAATGGGCAGCAGGGAGCTTGCTGGGTGCTGGAAAAAAAGCCTAGAAACTAGTGGATTGGGATTTCACTGAACTAGGGCTGCATAAAAATCTTGGTTTACGTAGGAGGAACCTGGCTAAAAAGAAATACACATAAAGGCCTACGAAAAGAAAAGAAAACACACACACACACACACACTACATATAACTATATATATATATATATATATATATATATATATGGTTTCCCAGATTGCTTTCTTTGCTACAAGGCACAGAATTTTGTTAAAGAGTTCAGTAACAGACATGCAGTCACTGGTCAATTGGCAGGTTGGAAGGGTACACACTTAGAATAGTAATTTCTTATAAATATGGTGTGAGCCCAGAATGCACTTCCTTGGTACAATCAGAAGATTGGCTGAAATAAAATGAGACTCGTTGCTCTAGAATATGTAGATCAGCCTTATGCCTAACATGGTATAAGGTCCGAGCTAAAAGAGTAACTTGACAGGATCATCCCTTACCCTGCTCTCAATCTCAAAAATTCTTTGCTTACTTGAAAGGAATTATTTTTAGACAACAATTTATATCTTGGCCATCATCTGAAGTTGACTACAGAGATCCTTGCTACAAACCCAATTGTTGATGTTATGAACTGTAATGTTTATCACAGCTAACTAGTGTGTCAGCTTCATTTAACGTAGGGCTGATCACAGTCTAACCAATTCTTCACATAATTCTGTGGCCTTATAAGAGCCACCTTTTACTATGATTCCATGCTGCAGAGGTTACTTACACACCCCAAATTTTGTAGTTCCGGAGCTCTACTAACTAGGCAGGTATTTAATAGCAGGAACTAAAGCAACATGCAAAATGTTGCTTCATTTTTAATGATTGCTAGGAGCACAGAATCATACTAAGGGAACCGTTACAAACCAGATGCAAGTACATGGAAAAGGGGACAGCAAAGCAGAGTTTAATTTTAAAATGTTATAAGAGAAATTATTTCCTTCAAATACACTTAAAAAGATGGGCATGATAAAGGACCAAAATGGCAGGGATCTAACAGAGGCAGAAGAGATTAAGAAGAGGTGGCAAAATTACACAGAAGAACTATACAAGAATGAGCTTAATGTCCCTGATAACCATGATGGGGGTGGCCACTGATCTCGAGCCAGACATCCTGGAATGTGAAGTCAAATGGGCCTTAGGAAGTCTGAGCAACAACAAAGCTAGTGGAGGTGACAATATTCCAGCTGAGCTATTCAAAATCTTAAAAGACAATGCAGTAAAAGCGATACACTCAATATGCCAGCAAATTTGGAAAACTCAATAGTGGCCACAGGATTGGAAAAGGTCAGTTTACATTCCAATTCCAAAGAAAGGCAATGCCAAAGAATGTTCAAACTATCACACCATTGCACTCATTTCACATGCTAGTAAAGTTATGCCCAAAATCCTACAAGCTAGGCTCCAGCAGTATGTGGATTGATAACTACCAGAAGTACAGGCAGGATTTCGAAGAGGCAGAGTAACTAGAGATCAAATTGCCAACATATGTTGGATCATGGAGAAAGCTAGGGAGTTCCAGAAAAACATCTACTTCTGCTTCATTGACTATGCTAAAGCCTTTGATTGCGTGGATCACAATAAATTGTGGCAAATTCTCAAAGAAATGGGAGTACCAGACCATCTTATTTGTCTCTTGAGAAATCTATATGCGGGTCAAGAAGCAACAGTGAGAACTGGACATGGAACCACTGATTGGTTCAAAATTGGGAAAGGAGTCCGGCAAGGCTGTATACTGTTGTCCTGCCTATTTAACTTATATGCAGAGCACATCATGAGAAAGGCAGGACTATATAAATCACAAGTTGGAATTAAGATTGCTGGGAGAAATATCAACAACCTCAGATATGCAGATGATACCACTCTAATGGCAAAAAGTGAAGAGGAACTAAAGAGCCTTTTTGTTTTGGTCTGCCAGCAGCCTGCGGAGCTGGCAGCGGAGTCAGACAGTGAGGAGGTTGAGGAAGAACATGGGCCAGTCCTGGAGGCTGGGGAAGGCCCGGATGAGGGCTCTGCATTGTAGGCAGAGATGGAGCCAGGCCATCTGGGAGTGATGTACGGACTCCGGAGCCTCCAGAGGCTGACAGCAGAGAGGCAGAGGAACAGGAGGAACCTGTTCCTAGTGCACGCATGAGAAGAGCTGCCAGAAGGCAAGAGCAGCTAAAGCAGAAAGGAGGACTTAGAGTAAGGCCAAGAGATGATTGGCCCCTCCCATAAGGCTTAAAAGACCAGCAATGCCTCTTGGGCTTTTGTTGGAAAACAATGTTGATAGATTTGTTTCTTGTCTTGCTGCATTTATTTCTTGTCGGTGTCTTCTGCTTCTGAACTTTTGCCAAGAAAAGCCTTTGGCAGGTTGCCTAATTAGACCAAGGTTGGTGATAAGGCTGAAGAATTGTGTTATGAAGAATTTGTTTTGAATTAGTTTGGATTACGCTGAGAATGAGTTAATAATAAAGTCTGTTTGTTTCGAACTGATTGCATCTGATAATACTTACTTGGGTCTGGGTCACAACACTTCTGATGCGGGTAAAGGAGGAGAGTGCAAAAGTTGGCTTGAAACTCAACATTAAGAAAACTAAGATCATGGCTCTCGGCCCTCTTAATTCCTGGAAAATAGATGGGGAGGAAATGGAGGTAATGACAGATTTTATTTTCCTGGGCTCCAAGATCACCACACATGGGGACTACAGCCAAGAAATTAAAAGACGCTTGCTCCTGGGGAGGAAAGCTATGGCAAAGTTAGACAGCATACTAAAAACCAGAGACATCACCCTGCCAACAAAAGTGCGTATAGTCAAGGCTATGGTTTACCCAGTTCCAATGTATGGTTGTGAAAGTTGGACCATACGGAAGGCTGAGCATCAAAGAATCAAGGCCTTTGAACTATGGTACTGGAGAAGACTCTCCTGCGAGTCCCTTGGACTGCAAGGTGATCAAACCAGTCAGTCCTAGAGGAGATCAACCCTGACTGCTCTTTAGAAGGCCAGATCCTGAAGATGAAACTGAAATACTTTGGCCACCTAATGAGAAGGAAGGACTCACTCGAGAAGAGCCTAATGCTGGGAACAATTGAGGGCAAAAGAAGAAGGGGACGACAGAGAATGAGGTGGCTGAATGGAATCACTGAAGCAGTCAGCGTGAGCTTAAATGATCTCTGGGGGATGGTAGAGGACAGGAAGGCCTGGAGGAACATTGTCCATGGGATCACAACGGGTCGGACATGACTTCGCAACTAACAACAACAACAACACTTAAAAAAAAATAATGGTAAGATTATTTCAATTCTGGCTTCATTTCTACTAGGCTGGGCATTTTTTGGTTGAGGATACAGCAGAGTCCAATAGACAGGGTGGATGTGGTTTCTAATTTTTAACCTTCCCCTCAAATATTTCTTCATCTCTAACAGCATGATATTTTAATCTATTTCTTTCTTTATTAAATTTATTTGCCACCTATCTCGTCACGAGACTCTGGGTGGCTGATCGGCTTAATCTAACAGAAGAGTGGAATTTATCCAAAGTTACAGCAGGAGTTCCCAAGGGTACATAAAAATGTCCCCTTGGCTCATATTATGTGTGCTTTTGTTTGCTACATTCCCTTCTTATCCTGAAGTCCTGGAGCACAGAGGAAGGGAACTCCTAGAGCCAGGCTGCAGTCATGTTCTTTTAGGGTAGGCTATGGGTGTCAATCTCGATTGCGTCACGTGATGTATTGTGACATATTGCAACATTTTTTGCCTTTGCAGAGCCGGGGTGGGTGTGGCCTGTGCGTGACGGATCTGGACCATGGGCCGCCATTTTGACAGGCCTGGGGTAAGCTAATGGGAATGAGACGTTTTTTATGAAAGCTCTTTTATATTATACTCCCTGATTTTGAACCACAGTATGTCTCCCATAGGAAGCAGCTTGTGCATTCTATCAGACCCAAGAAATCAGGTCCTTTCCACAAGCCCTCTTACCTGTTCCTGGAGTGTTACTGTCACTTGTTCTTACTGCCTCAGAGCTTGAGCATAACTCTCACATTGACTGAAGATTCAACGTATGTCTACTCTGTAACAGAATTAAGTGAACCAGGCTGAGTGACAATGTCTGAAAAGCAGCACAGACCATGAACTCATGCAGAGGGAAGGCCACCACAACTTCACAAGATCTTTAATAATGATCAGCCTTTCTCAGCTTGGCATATTCAAATGTGATAGATCACAACTCCCATTTCAGCCAAGATAGCCAACATAGAGCTGAGGGGTCCTTGGTGCTCTCTGCAAGAAGACAATCAGGTTCAGAGAGCGTCAAGAACTCCTCATTTCAACCCTGTGCTACAAATATTTTCCTTTGTCCGTTACAATGAGAGTTGCAGTCCTAACTCTAGCCAGCCCTTCCAGAGAGTGCCAAGTTGAGGCAGAATGCTTGCTCTACACCCCTGCCTAAAAGTAACTGAAGCAGCCTCATGTCCAATTAGGAGAGAGATTATAGTGTATTAGAGATTTTCATATAAAAAGTTCCAGGCGCAATTGCCAATTGCACTAAAACAAGGTTCCTATCTAAGAGAAAGATCTGGAGTTTTTATCTCATGACCCCAAATAAAGAAAAGCCTTCTTTAAGTTAGATATTTGGAGATTATTCTTAAACCACAGCTGCTCTACCCAGTTTGGTCTGAATTATTAGGGTTTACTGAATCACACTCTGTGTTACAACTGTACAATTCTTGGAGGGACCTGAGTAAGGACAATGCTGGGCCATATCTATCTTTTGGTGTCATTTTGAACTATGGTAGGAAATCCACCCAAAATTTAACCTCTATTTGGCAAGTCTCTGCCTATCACTCGTTTGCAAATCTTGATACATTCATACTTCCCTTCCAGGTTATTTACCATGCCCCCAATGCTAGCTCAAGAAGACAGTGTTGAATTAGGTTGGCCAATAGTGCAACTGATAGCTTCATTTGTTCTTATTCATAACAAAACACTAGTTGTCAATGAGAATCTAGGCACCAGTTCAGACAGCAAATTCAATGCTATTGTGAGCTCTTATTTTTCAATGGAAAATATGCGAAACCAAAATTCTACAGTCCTTTCTCTGGACTTGCATTGCATTCATTCAACAGCAAGCAGAATTCTGAAGTGTTCTTTTTTAAATGAAAGAATGCACCACAGTTATGTTTTGAAAGGTACAAAAAAATAATATAAATTAAAAAAAGAAAAGAAAACTAAAATACCTTATCATCTGTCCCACTTGCCAGCAAGCTCATTTCTTTTCCTATTAACCTGAGAAGATCCTGGCTACACCTGCTGTGCACTGTTATTGGAACTGTCACTAAGGAAACAGATACCCTGTTGGGACAAGTTATATTTCAAAGCCCTTGCCAACTTGCATTTTTAGCATATCAAGGGAGCAAGGAAAAGGGGGGGGGAGATGGGGAGGAAGACAAGTGACAGGATGTCTGAAATGCTTGTTAAAAGGAAGTCTGCAGACATTCAAAACACATTTTGCTTCTTTTAAACAAAGGAGAAAGGAAAAGGAACCCAGGAGAAATTAAAATTAAACACGTCACAGAAGAAGCAACAGCATCATATTCAGGCAAGGAAACAGTTGGAGAGCAAGCGGCATTAAGGTCCTGAGAAGCTAGATTGATCGTGACAATAGCAACACCAATAACAGAAAACCTGCATTAAGTTTAACATGCCACATATACATTTACACATATATAGATAGACATGTGCATTTGTGTGTGTTTTATATGTGTGTTTTCTAGTGGGTGGAAACTGAGGAATAATAAAAAAATTTGTATAGACTGGCAGCATGGTTACCCAGTCCCTTATAGGACAATGCTTTATTAAAAAAAAAAAACATAATTAGGAAGACAAAATAGTGGACGAGTTGTCAAGTTGCAAGCTCATGATAGCTGCACTCTAACTATCGCTCTGCACCTTTTCCTCTGGTTGTGATTCAAGCTAAACATTGGCCAACTAGCAAGAGGTCAAGGTCAGTCCAAGATACACATGCACACACTTTGACAAGAAGCAGAAGAAAAAGGGAGAGATTACTTCCAATTCTTCCTTTTTGTTCTCAATCTACCCTATGATAGCAATGGGCAAGAAACTCGGTATTTATTTTGGAAGAGACAGATGGAAAAAAGCAATAGGTGACATCATCTGAAGGAAAAATAGGATGGAAAACCTTTTGACCAAAAAAACAAAAAAAAAACAAACCCAAAACAAAAAGGTAAGAGGGGAAGCAATTTGGAATGTATGCCCCCATCTACTTGTCTTTGAAATAGTCCATGATTTAAGGCCACAATTGAAAAGCTCACTGCGTTAAACATGTCAGCTTAGCTTTTGAAATGAACATGGCTTATAAGAGTATTGAATCTTTAGCATTTGCAAACAAAGATAATTTTTCCTGTTCCCTTCCATTGAGCTAACTCTGATGTTGTCCCCAAACAACTTTGTTTAGTTACATCCTGCAGCTTAGCACTGTGTAACTTTGAACCTGCTAATGTAATGCTTATGAATGATTCTGCAACTACTCAGATTCTAAAGATATAAATCACTGTTTCTCAACCTTGGCAACTTTAAGATGTCTGGACATCAACTCCCAGAATTCCCCTGTCAACTTAGAAGTCCATACATTTTAAAATTGTGAAGATTGAGAAACACTGACATAAATCATTCTATTTTTTTTTCCTAGACACAGTAAGAGATGCCCTTGTGAATGTTCTTCCTTCCCGTTATTGAAATACGCCTTAGCTCTTCCCACCTGGTAACTTAAAAACCAAAGAATTCCCATTGTGTTTTGATGGCTTTCGTCTTGAACTACAAAAATTAAAGTCTGTATTAGATAACAACATGACCAAAAAGGTATCCCTGATAATATGCATAGTACAAATTATGTGATCTACAATGCATACAGCAGGCCTGCCATTTTCTCTTCCAGAACAGCAAAATCACCCATCAGTTGCAGCAGCTAATAGTGAGGGTTTCTTACTCTCTTCACAAAACAATTTGAACAGTTCAAACCGACCAAATTATGGAGCTTACCATCTTCAGAGCCGTGAGCTGGAATCCTGTGTGAAAGTGTAGAATGGAAGGTCAGGTACCATGTTGATGGATATGCTACAAAAACGGTCGGGATGCTAAAGTTTTCCACAAAAATGGCCAGCACCAGCAAAACATCACAGCACCTCCCAAGAACTGCTTTCTCTTGCTACAGTAGCCAAGACAAGGAAGCACCACGAGGAACCAAACTAAGGGAGGCTTAGTGTTAGCGCAATGTATACCTGAACTTTAACCATTTAAGATCACACTGTATAAGGCTATCCAAATGGTTGATTCTAGATAGGATCAGAAATGGTCTCTAAAGTATGGCAAAATGACTTATTCCAAAGTCACCCTTTGGAAAGATGATGGCCCTATGATAGATGTTTGAGGCCAGGACCTATGTGAGATATACTTTGTTAGAAGCTCCATAGCTGCCCTTCACTCATTTTTAAGAAATCAAAAGAATAAAACAAATGAACAAAACAAAAACTGTATCCACCCCATTTTGAACAAGGGGCTTAGTTATGATCAGTCTCTCTGGCTGCAGTTCATTGGTTAGTTCTATGTCATGCAATTGGCGACATCATCTGCCAGCAGACTGGGACTGCGGTGCCATAATGACATGTGACTGTATGGGCACGTTCAGTTCTGTCCTTTGGTTGGCCATCTGAGTGAGGACTGAAGTGGCAACAGCTTCAGCTGCAGAGCGGACGTTCAGCCCATTGGGAGATGCAGTCACCGAACTGTGCTGGATGACAGGAGCTGGAGAACCGGTGGGCTCAGAACTCTCTTTGGGGCTTTCTGATTTTTCAAGAAAAGGGAAAAAGAAAATGGCATTAGTGATTGGACTTGGCTTTACAGACTTCTACAGAACATGCTTCAGCAACTATTCTGCCAGTTCTCACTCATTTTCTCAAATGAGTTGCTCTTTTTTGGCCACAATATTCTCTGTACAAAAATTCAGTTTTAATACAGGTTTAACAAGCCTGAAAATACAACTCATTCTGATGCTAATCAAAAGTATCTGTATAATCTTGTGTTGGATACACAGAACACATTATCATAGAATTTTCATTTTACACAGCATATTATGTGAATCCAGCCACTGTATTTGGTAAACCATAGTTTATTGTTGTGTGGAGTCAGCTGATTATGGTTTCTTTGATTAAAAAAAAAATCAGCCACATATCTCAATAATAAAACTGAATGTGCATAACTGAGAAGAATTTGATTGGCATTATTTAGAGATGCCAATTGAATTTCTTTCCCTACAGCTAAGGCTTATAATGTGAACTTCCAGAATTGAAGAGGAAAAAGAAAAAAATACAGTTTTACAGCAGTGGGGGGAAAAATCAGCCTTTGGGGGAAAATAGGGTTTGTCCTATAGCTGCAAATGTGTAGAACCTTTTTCAACTGGGTGTTCTTGAGATAATATGGACTAACCCATCCACCATCCAAAGGAAGAACTAGCCATAATAACTGGGGTACTGAGAATTCTATCCCCAGCAGTTTTAGAATAGCTTAGGTCAGAGTTGGTGTCCTTGTAATATTCAATTATAGAATGCTTTTTTAAAATCTTAACTGATTCCAAAATGCTACTTCATAAAACGCTGAAATCCTAAAATCTGTATTTGATCTTGATAAAGGAGAATATTTGTAACTCAGGGTTGAAATTGGGGTCCTTCTCTGAGCTTGGTTGCTTTTTTGCAGACGTGTCATTACCCCAAACTAGGTGACATCATCAGTGCTACAAGAAAACAACCAAATTCATAGAGCACCAAGGACCCCTGCATTTGACCCCATTTGCCCTGCCTGATTCTGCTTACCAAGATAACCTTGTGTTTTCTTCTGTAATGCAGTGACAGGGCAGTCCTTGTGAGCCAACAATAGTTGTTTGAGTTGCGCAACTTCATTCCTTAATAATGTAACTTCGTTCTATGAGAAAGGAAACATTTAATCTCATTGCGTTGGTTCAACATCCAATCTTGAATCTTGCCAAGTGTTCATTTGAAACAGTGAGAGAACAATCAGAGGTACAACATAAATATGAAGGAATTTACAGATGATGGGTTTCAGCCAGCACCTTTTACTCATTGCGTAGCTTAGGGAATGCTTCATTCATCATGCTCCCTTTTTTAGCATTAAAACTGCTGTGGCTCAAACCTATGCCTAAATTGTGTCTTTTGCTATTGGGATATCTTTGAAAAAGCCAATATGGAAACCTGGTAGTGAACAAGGAGATTCTAATCTAAGAAACCTTGAAATAAAACATGTTTTAATTCTGAAAATCTTTTGAGATAAGTCAGGCTAAACATAATGTACTTGTGCATTTGTACACAAACACACACACACTCAGGCAGTAGTTTCAAATCTTTTCCACCAATGAAATATAAAGTGGAAGCAATAGGGCTGATGCAAAGTACCTTGGAAGGGTTTTACAAAAAATGGTGCTGAAAAATCACAAAGGCAAAACTAGTGCATCTTCCAGGTTTACTTTTATTAGCATACTAGCTTCACTGAGTGCTGGAGTTATTTTTGGTTTCTAGCAGACAGAAGCTGCTTATAGGGAATGCAGGTAGCAGCCTGTTTTAATACTGGAATTGAAGCTGCTTATACTTCATGGTAGGCTTGCTTAGTTGCATTCCTTGTGTAAGTCTCTCAAAAAAGGTGGGAACACCATATCAAGGGCACATGTGGAAATAACTCAAGTGTATTAACATTCTTATTATTAACACTGAAGGGGAGATTACACTGAACTTCAGTTTCTCCCTCAAAGACAGAACTACCCCTGTTGGCTGAGGTCCAAGAACCAGAAGGCTCAATTCTTTTTCCTCAAAGGCGGGAAACTTTAATTAAGCTCCAGGATAAGTTAAGCAACATGGTAGTAAAAAACCAAAGCCAAAAATTCATAGCAGCGCAAATAGCTTGGCTCACAATCTAGCACCAGCAATATATCAAAAATCAGGCCAAGGTACCACAGCAGACAGGAGAAGAAGCTAAGCTTCCAATGTTAAGAGGCAGATGGAAAGCATGAAAAGGTTCCCTTTATGCATCGAGACCACACAAAAGTTAAAATGTCTTTCTTACTCATAAGAATAACAGAAAGTTTCACATATCAGGATATTTTGAAATGACAACAATATATTGATAATAACGTATTAAATGTATAGATGATGGGAACAAAAAAAAAAGAAGAAGAAGAAGAAGAGGGCTATCAATTATCCTTGTCAAAGGGGGAGTAAACAGAACTGCTGCAATAAGATTGGAATTGAGTGGTAAGATTTTCTGAAGAAGTCCACACTGACAAGTAACAAGAAATAAAAATGACCGAGGCCCTAATGTCTGTTCCACAAAATGCTCATTCCAACAAGGAGCTATAATTTAACCAAGGGAACTATAATCTGAGAAAACGTGTGTTAGTAGAACGCATTCTTTCACAGAGACCTCAAATCTCCCCGCCCCCGCCCCCTTCCTTGGCAAGGAAAGCTCCTCCAGATGGTAGACAGCCAAGACCAAGAATACCTACTGCACGCCAGGATCTTCAAAGATAAGTAATAAAGGTCTCAGAGTATAAAAATCACCTCCACACTACATTCGGATCCCATAATTTCAGATTATATTGGCTAGGAACAAATTTATGAACAATAGATCTCACACTACCCTGGAGGATGATGGTCTTGAAAATAAAGCAAGGATAGATACGATATTAAGGGTACATTTATCATACTGTAGGCATGTTGGCAAGCCTGCTTACACTTAGATGGATGTTCTGTGTGGTGAGCTCTTCTGCTTTCTTTTCCAAGGACGACACCCAGAGCTTGCGTTTCTGGCGGCAGCGGGAGGCGGCAGCGCGGTTCCGCTCCAAGAAACGCTGCCTGCGTTCGTCTGGATCTTCATCTGCTGTGCGTCTCCGTCGGCCACCTGTACTTGGTGTGGGTTGAGCTGGGGAAACCTGAGGATGAAGGACAAATAGATGGGCAGGCTATTCAGACAGAAGATGGGGCAGATTGTTCAAAGAAAAAGAGGAGGAACCTGTGGCTTTCCGTTGTTATTAAACTACACCTCCCAGCATCTCTTGCCACTACTCATGCCCGCTAGAACTGCTGGAAATTGCAATTCAGCCATTATCTGAAGAAGCCCACCTTGTATTAAGAACTCAGCAGTCATACATGGACCAAAGAACTCATCCAAGCAATTTTGGGGACTATTAATACTGCCCTAATGCTCTCAAATGCTACTTTACTGTTTAATGTTTGCTTTTCTTATTCTTGATTGCTTTTCTTATATTTTGCGTGATATTTTTCTGTAAACTGTTCTGATATTTTGTCTGAGAATAAAAAGTAACACCTGTAATCTTTTAATGAACAAACAATGAATAACATTTTCCTCTGATTTGTCTGGTTCCCAATAGTCTCTCTGTAAAATAGATGTGCAAGACGCATGGATGTCTATTGCATTTATCTGCAGGCAACTTGGAATATTCAGCCATTATTTGACTTTGCACCCTTTTATCAATTTAATTTTTTTAAAAACCCTCCTCTTTTCCCTTGTGCCTGTTCAAGCATTATTTTTGCAACGAGATGCTTGTGTGGTAAAGGCAACACTGTAATAGTCACTGAAATTCTTTTTATTTTTAAGTAGCCAAATGGAAATAAGTGCCAAAAGCAAAAACAAATTTGCAGGTTCCCACCTTAGCTCAGCCTCCCCAAATGGGCTCTATAATTAGACAGACAGTTTCCACTTCTCTATACTCGCTGTCAGTCAGGCAACATATGGACAGTAAACTTCTGGAAGCTCTAACTGACAGAGCAGGTGGTAATTGTGATGGAAGGCTGGCATTTGGTAAGCTGGCAGGACCAAATGGGGTGCATTTAAACTCAAGTAATTAAGATAGGAAGAGAGACAGAGGGAGAGAAGATTTGTAAATACTGCTTCTCTGTTTCTGACTCTGTCCCCATTGCTGTTGTATCTCAGTGATAAACATCTGGTAGCAATGCTGGCAGAAGCAATGGAGGCTCACCCTAGTCTACCCACCTGCCCAGGGAATTAGAAACCGAGTGCCTTAAACCTGGCACATCCTGCAACTAGAAAACTGTAATTTGGCAACAAGGAAAAACAACATACTGAATTTTCAAGCTTATTTTCATTTTCAAAATTTGAAGTTTGTTCTAAAGTAGTTTTTCAGAAACTGCAAAAAGGAGAGTTGGTTCTCTAAGGAAATGGGGAAAGACTATAGAAAGATGTACAGGAACATAAGGGAAGAGAGAAATCCAAAACAAAGTATTTATTTCCAGATAACTAAAAGACTGCTGAAAGCTGTTGACGGTTTTCCTTCCCTTCTCCAGAAATGATTACATTATTGTATAAGAGGGTTCATTAGCCCCTGATATACACTCATCACATAATTATCAGATCATTCTTGTTTTTATAATGGTTCAAAATCTTAAATTCGTATTTGTTCTTTAAAAATATGAATAAATACCATAGCAAATGATGCCATCATGCTCTCTCTAATACCATAGTTAGCTCAAGTCCCTACTTAGAAGTTCCCCATTCCCCTTTTCTTCACAAGGACCAGTACATTTTTATTTTATATAAAAGTCTGGCTCCAAATAATAGCTGTTGGGTTTTAATTAAGTATCATACGATCTAGCAAGCACCCTTACAAATTTCCACAGCAGCTTTCCTAAATTTGGGCTCTTTCCTTTGGCTGATGAGCCTGCCAGCTGAGGAAGGATGAGATGTATTGTAGTCTCACTTCTGTTTCCTGAATCCTTACTTAATCCAATTTGGCACTTAACCAACCTGTGGCTGGGCTGGAGAAGGTGCATCAGGGTGCTGGATAAGTATCTGACCCTGTTCAGGATGGGAAGTCACCATTGTGCTCGCTGATCCCACCATCATGCTGCTGCCGTTCAGTGAGGAAGTGATTCCTTGCGTCAGGCTGGCTTTTAGCCTCTGCATGGGATGAAGACAAAACAAACACTAGGAGAAGCCCAACTTTCTCCTTGTTGAGATGGCACAGTGGTTGAAATGCAGTATTGCAAGCTGACTCTGCTCACAGCCAGGAGTTCAATCCTGACCGACTCAAGGTTGACTCAGTCTTCCATCCTTCCGAGGTCGGTAACATGAGGGCCCAGATTGTTGGGGGTAATGTGCCAACTCTGTAAACCGCTTAGAGAGGGCTGAAAAAACACTATGAAGCGATATATAAGTCTAAGTGATATTGCTATTGTTGATGTTTTAAACACATACTTGGAGTTTGCTAAAAAGTGGCAGTCTGTTGAAGACAAGGGGCAGTAAACCTGACATGCTGTTAACTAGAGGTTCACATTTATGTTCCTAGAAGAAAAATAAAAACCTGGATTAATGGATGTAAAAACTTCACACGTGACTGGGAATTCTTTTCGCTAAGGAAATCTGAAAAATCTCTCTTTTTTTTTTGGAGGAGAAGCTCTCATTAATGTGGAATGTTTAAACAAGAATTCTTCCTTTCCCATACAATTAAGAAATAAGTCACCATAAAATGTTCAGACAGCTGGAATTTTTCTACTAAAACATTGAGTTTTTTATTACATTTTACTTCGTTTTCCTTCCAAGGAATGTATGTGTTAGTCTCAAAATAATTTGGTCAAATGGAAGACAGTTAAAAGAGAGAGCTTATAAAACTACCAAGAGTTTATGCCTGTAAGATAGAATAAAACATTCTGTTGGTGTAAAGGATGTCTAGCCTGAAGAAGTAGAGGAACTGTTTTTCTTATATTTGTGCGATATTTGCTCAGATGTAAGTTAATATCTACTCTTAATATGCTGTATTTGGACATGTCTACACTTTTGTGGCTATACTCTTTGTAATCCCAAGCCAGAATTCAAAGAACTCTGCATCAGTTTTATATGCTAAAAAGGATTTTACAGTGGGTTTGGCTGAATACCTCCTCTTCTACTGCCATATATCAGCCTCCATGGATGGGAATTTAGGGGTTTGTAATTCCAACATGTCTGGAAAGCTCCAGGTTGGGGAAGGCTGCCATACACCAAGTTGCTTTTGAACCCAACAGGGAATTTCAAAAGCAATTTTATTGTATTTGGCATGGGAATACAATTCAAGAGGGGGAAAAAAAACCACTGTGAGCTTTAGCAGTTTTGGATCTAGTAGTACTTCAAGTCTGTAAATTGTGCAAGTGGTGATGGCAAAGGGGACTAAGCCTGACTTCTGAAAAATGATACAACAACCTAAAACATTTTTACAAGATGAAGTTTCTTTAAAGCGGTGTTTTCTCAATCTTGGACTCTTTTAAAAATTGTGTGGATTTCAACTCCCAGAATAATATCCCAACCTGCTATGCTTTCAAGACTAGAATGATAGAAAAAATGTTTTTGAAATCTGCAATGCATCTTGGTGCATACATCTCTCTCATTCGATTCTTTAAAAGGAGCCATCTTGTGAACCACGAAATAGAATCAGGAGCTCACCATTTTAGCTTCAGAGTGTCCTGGAAGGCCTGATGGTGAAATTGAGCCACTGCTGATAATCGGGGGACCAGGAATACCAGGAATGTTTGGCACCATAGGCATCGGCCTTGCCAGCTATATATTGGAGGAGGAGGAGGAAAAAGAAGCATCTCAGGTTTTCTTTTTTTACTTAGAACACACCGAAAAGGAAAAAAAAAAAGCCTCACAAAAATCTCACCATTGGTGTTTGCATGAAACCCACAAATTTTCACTTTCTTTGAACCATTCCATTTGGCTACAGCCAAATCCTCTTTTTTTTTTTAATGATTGTCCCAAATATCCTTATTTGATTTTAGGTATTTGTGTGCAATTTCTCAACAGTCGCCTAAAAACTGTAACATAATGCTAGCTCTCAAACAATTCGTATCTTGAAATAGGAGATTGTTGGCAATCTGCCGATCATAAGGAAGATTATGGCTCCAGATAACTAGGCCCACAGAATTGTTTTAGAACAAAGGCATTTGGAGATCAATCAGGCTAAAATGATTAAACCGTTAGTTTTGAATTAGAGGGGACAGGAACACAACACTGAGCAATATTCAAGGCTATTGTCATCTTTCAGATAACATATTTTTATTATATTTTGTGGAAGGGACAAAAATAAGTCAGAAACAAAGTGCAGATGCCTGAAATTTTTAGAGGGAGGGCAGACTCAGAATTATATTTTTATCATAAGGAGGAAAACTTCTGACCGATTTGTTATCCTCTGTAAGGTTCTTTGCAATTTCCCCCCTCATTTTATGATATTGTTCACTTTCAGAGCAATTGGAGAGGGAAGATGCTGGGTAAGCTAAGTAGAATTCATAAGAGTATTACTGATACATCCTGGAGAAAAGGCAGTCATTTGCAAACCTCCCCACTAGGTACATAGAGAGATGTCTTCTGCTATCCTAACAAATTAGCCGTTCCAATTTATTGGAGTCAATCTATTTCCAATGTGGCAGAAACTTTCTGAACACTTAAAAGTCAGTGAAAATTTACCGCACAAAGAAGCAGACACTTGATTTGCATGCAACATCAGAAATAATACAAGATGCACCAGAAGGTACTCATGTTTGTCAAATCCATATGCAGAAATAAAAGCTAAATAACCATTTCATGCCCCGAAGAGGCCAGGGAGGGAGTTTTTCCTGGCTTGGAAAAGCCGACATGTTCCCTGCAAGCTTGAATGGTTTCAAGCACAAAGCTAGCTAATCAGAAAGCCTGCCATTCCCAGCCCCAGAACCAACAGGGCCAGCCATCTGTTCATACAAGGATTCAGCCTGAGCCTTCCTGACCAATGACTTGGTTGGCAGGCACGGCTACCCTCAGAGGCAGTGGCTCTCACCACCCCTATGTCCTCTACTCCAACATAGGCTTATCTCATGCAGAGAAGTAGAGGGAGATGTCAATTTTTGCAAATTAAAGTGCCCCATATGCTCTGCAAAGGGAAAAAGCTGTCCCTTCCTTTATCAAAATCAGCCATGCTGGAAGCTTTCATTACCGATATGACAGAAGGCATCTGAACGGGTGGGCCAGGAAGGACCGGCATAGTCTGTCCATTCACAAGGTGCATGACAAGTGGTACAGAACTGGTAGGAGACCTGGAAAAGATTTTAAGCAAAAAGAAAACGCGTCAAACAAACTTCAGTCCATTTGGCAGGGAAGCGAACTCTCTCAGCAAATCCTGGTTGCATGTGATTCTCTTTGATTCGTGGAACCCATCCCTTCTCCAAATTCTCCATGATGCTCTAACCAATGGACAGCAAACTATTTTCTTAATCTAACTTTTTAACTGCTAACTAAATTGACAGAGTAAACATGGATCACAAAGCCACAGTTGGTTCTAAACCAATACAGTACTTCTCATTCAGCAACCCGGTCACTAAGTGAAGTGGTTGCTAAGCGAAACTTCATGATTTTATGATCTTACTTCAATTTTCTTTTCCATTACAGACCCATAAAGGTTGTAAATATGAGGACCAGTCACCAAGTTACTTTTTCATCCCCGTCACCAATGTGAGTGGTTGCTAAATGTGGCAGTCGAATGTGGCAAGGACCACCTGTAACTAAAGCCAGCTTCTTCTCCCAATCAATCTCAAAATCTAACTGATGAAACCATATCTCAGGGCATGTTTCCTTCCTTCATGACTATTTTTGGATAATTATATATTCCTCTTCCATACTCCATAAAATTTGATACCAGAACACTTCAGGAGAAAATGCTATCTGATGAAATGCTCAATTTTAGGACTGAATTTTGGATGCTTTCTCTTCCCTTAAAGTTTCTATTTACCCGAGCTGTCTGTTGGAAGGTGGTGCCTGGGTGATGACCGAGGTTGGAGAAGGAAGAGTTGGATGTAGGGGGTCATATCCCAAGTGCAGTGGCAGAGATCCAGGACGTACAATAGTTGGTGTAGGCGTAGAAATTATAATAGGTTTTGAAGCGCTCTCCTAAGAGAAATGCAGACAGTCAATGCCAGATTCCCACCACCACCCTCCTTGTGTAATGCTATTAATTTTTGCTTTATTATCTTATTGATTACCTAATTACATTATTTATCATATTACTGATTATTATTGTTGGAAACATAGAAACAGGGCATGAAAAAAAAAAAACCCAAAAAACAAAAAACACTCCTCTTTCTTAAGGCAGACCAAATAACACCCTGCTAACTCCAAATATCTGATAGGCCTGAGGTCTATAAATATCGCATGAATGTAGTTTCAAAAATCCCAATTTTATCAAAAGGCAAAAAGTCTACATCTTCTCAAGCCAGGAATCTACAACACTCAGTTTCATCATGATCAGGATAATTATTACAAGGATTGCTTGATTTAAGAAATGAGTTGAACAGATTTATTTATTTATAGCATTTAGTAGCGTCGCACCAAAAAATAGGGTGGGATTTAATGTACCTCACGAAGTAGTGCAATAGTACGTAAAACATTGATTAATGTGATCTGCAGGCATATTGGTAGATGATAATAGGCAATTGGAACTCCGAGGGAAATATAAGAGCTATTTGGAATTCAAAAAGATGTTCATTAAAATTCAAATCCAATCCCAGTGCTTTTCTCTAGGAGCAAGAACTTCAAGAGCAGGAATAAGCCACGTGCCCATAAATTTCATTTCATTCTTCTGAGCTCTTTCCTGCTTTATGATTTGGTTGAGATCCATCGCTAGGAACGTGGAGTTGCCAGCAGACATGAAGCCAAGAAAGGACTGCATAGAGAAAGACACTGGGGTGGTGATAATTTAAATTATTTCAGCAGTTTTCATGCATCTGTCCCTGGCATGGAACTGCCAGTTCTTACTCCTGGCATGTCCAAAGAATCGGAAAATGGGTAGCAAGTCCAGCAGTAAACTCGTATTTGTAGGATTAAACTAACTAATACTTCTGAATCTTTTGCCTCTATGTTACTATTATCAGAAATAATAAGAGAGCTAATTTTGCTTTTGTTTTTATACAGAGGGCATCTTTTTCAGAATGAGCAAAAGCCATTAAAAGCAGATTAAAATAAGTTCTCGATTTACAGCAGTTCATTTTGTGACCGTTCGAAGTTACAAAGGCACTGAAAAAAGCGACTTATGACTGTTTTTCACACTTATGACCGTTGCAGCATCCCCATGATCATGCGATTTACAATCGGATCCTTGACAACTGGTTCATATTTATGAAGGTTGCAGTTTTTTTTCTTTTTCTTTTTAATTTGATTTATATGCCGCCCTTCTCCGGAGACTCAGGGCAGCTTACAATGCGCTAAGCAATAGCCTTCATACTTTTGTATATTTATACAAAGTCAGCTTATTGCCCCCACAAACTGGGTCCTCAATTTACCTACCTTAGAAAGGATGGAAGGCTGAGTCAACCTTGAGCCTGATGAGATTCGAACTTACAGTAATTGCAGACAGCTGGTGTTAATCACAATGCTATCAGTCTGCTGAGCCATCAGGCAGTGTCCCTGAGTCATGTGATTTCCCCTTTTGTGACCTTCTGGCAAGCAAAAATAAATGGGAAAGCCAGATTCACTTAACAACGGTTTTACTAATTTAACAACTGCCTCAATTCACTTAACAAATGCGGCAAGAAAAATCATGCAATGGGCCAAAATTCACTTTCTCGAATGTCTCACTTAGCAACATAAATTTTGGGCTCAGCTGTGATCGTAACTCGAGGACTACCTTTCCTGAAAGCTCACCTTCTCCTTAGGCTGTGGTGACTGTGGGCTCCCTACTGGGCTGTCTGGAGGAGAAGAATCCACTTCGACAGGCTCTTCCTCTTTGATTTTGACGTCTGGGGTAGAGGGAAGAGACATATCGAGAGGACCAGAACACTGTGGAAACATAAAATATATATTTTAGCACATAGTGCCCAAAGCTACTGCGATGTGTTTGCAGGTTTCTGCATGCCCACCATCCACGAACGTAGTTAGAAAAGCCTAGAAACATGCTCATGGCACTACCCATGCTCATGGCACTTCTAATAGCAATAGCACTTAGACTTATATACTGCTTCACAGTGCTTTACAGCCCCCTCTTAAGGGGGTTTACAGAGTCAGCCTATTGCCCCAATAATCTGGGTCCTCATTTTACCCACCTCAGAAGGATGGAAGGCTGAGTCAACCTTGAGCCTGGTGAGATTTGAACTGCCAAACTGCAGGCAGCCGGCAGTCAGCAGAAGTAGCCTGCAGTACTGCACTCTTACCATTGTGCCATCTCTGCTCAGTTATCTTGGTTTTCTGACGCTAATATGGCTTTTTGGTCCAGAAAAACTGGAGATCCAGAAATACTAAAGACTGCAGGGTCCAATCTGAGTCGGTCACCAGGACCAAAGGTTTATTCTTCCAAGCTTTCAGGATCATGCTGGAGGCTATCATCAGGGAACTTCTCTCTCTCTCTCCAGAATACATGCGCTGGGCTTTTCCATGCGTTGTATTTATTAAAGACTGCCATTGAGAATGCTCTTACAGTGGGGTCCCTGGGCTGAAACAGTGGAGTGCAGATTATGCAAACAGCAGTTTGCCCCCACCAAGGACACCTGCTACTCTTCTTTGCATGAACGTCAGTTAGATGTCTGTCTTAAATTGCTCAGACCCTAAAACCTTATTAAACCAGAAAGGCAGCATTCTGAAGATCGTGTACATAACACTATACAGGCAACCCTTTTTTTCTTGTAAAACTTTGCGAATATAAAAATAAAGCTGGAGGGCCTGCAGGTCACAACCCCCCCCTCCCACTCATTCACAGAAGTGCTGGAATCTGCTATATAAGTCACTTTTGAATTACTGCTTGATTTATCAAAAGCCAACGAGAGAGCCATGTAAGTTATTACAAACCTATGACCAGGCCATTGTAATAAAACCCAACCATATGCCTGAGCCTGGCATATTGCCAGACCACCTATTTTCATTTCAACAGCTCAGCGTGGCCTTTTCCAATTTTTGTGAACAACAGCCTGCTATGCTCGTAGATCTCCGGGTCGTAGTACAGCAGGAAGAAATGGCACCATGCACATCAAAGCAGAAAGAGAAATAGCACATTAAGTAGTCTTGAAGCAATCAAAAGCGGCCTAATACCTCCTCAAGGCCTTTGATGGAGTTTGCTAAGGTGATAAAAGAAGATATAATGAGCTGCTGGGAGGGGAAAAGGCCAGTCGGCACGAAAAAGCTACTTTTCGATGAAAAGCAGAAAATTTCTTTTAGTGGCTACCAAAGAAAACCAACAGGGGCAACCAGGGTAACGATTAACTACTATGTTTCCCTGAAAATAAGACCCTGTTTTATATTTTTTTGAACCCTGAAATAAGCGCTTGGTCTTATTGCCCTGTGCTCAAAAGCCCAATTGGGCTTATTATCAGGGGATGTCTTATTTTGGGGGAAACAAAATAAGGCATCCCCTGTTCTTTGTTAGCAATCTGCTACTTGCCACCTCTTTGGTCTTCTGCTGGCTATTTCTTATGCATAATCGTCAGTTAAATGTTTCTTTAGAACCTTCTTCTATGCTGTAATACACACCGTTAGGCACAAGAAATCAGGAAACAGAGTTGTTCAAATCAGTAGAAGTTTATTCCATGCCATCTCTAAACAAGAATCTGAACTACTAACGGTCAAAGCAAATGGGCAGTAGATAAGAGTCAACGGAATTCAAGGAGGGCTGGTTTTAGATCTCTTGTGGGAGTGATGGGACTCCAGACTGATGACATGCTTAACCCCTCCCTCTGGCTCAGCCTGGTCATCGCCTACACAAACTGTCATATTACATGCTGAATGTCAGACTTTGCCATCTCCTGGTTGTTTCTCCTTTAGCTTCTTATTTGTTTAACACAGGCCCAGTATATTCCAGTTTAATCCTCTCTAACAAGGTACCCTCTAGAGCAGGGATCACTAACTCCCAATCCGTGGACCAGTACTGATCCGTGGCATGCCAGCAACTGGGCCGCACAAACAAACGAAGCCCCAACCGTGGGATGCAAAACTACTCGCCTCCAGTCTGTGGAAAATCCTTTCTTCATGGAACCGGTCCCTGGTTCCCAAAAAGTTGGGGGCCACTGCTCTAGAGATATTGGGGCTATAAATAATTTTGGCTAGTAATTCTGGGAGATACACTCCTATTATAACCAGAGGCAATCATCTTAGAGAAAAATTATAACTTTAAGTGTTTTCCCACTATTCAAGGGGAGCTTTTCCCTAAGGCTGCTAGATAATGCCTTTTAACTTTCTGAAAACTGATAGATTCCAAGCATTCAGATTTTGATGGTTTGCATGCAAAACATATGTTCTACCACTGAACTTTCCCATTTGCTTTACTAATCCTGTAACTGAAAAAATTCTGTAGGAATAAAAGAAAATGGCCATCACCGTGGATGATGACACCCAAGTGGGTGTCCAAAATACTGAAGCTCAAAGTCAGTTATTAACATTAATTACCTTAAGAACCAGGCTAATACATCTGTAAGTAATTACAAGCTTCTTAATTTCTAGTCACTCCTGAGAAACCATGAATGTCATATCTTAAAAGTAGAGCATGAATCCAATCTCATATGAGGGTTAGCAATAGGAGGGTCACATTTAACCCCTCTTGAAGGAGGATCCCTCAGTTCTGCTCATCTACCAACTTAATGAGGTAATTTGAAACCAAGTTTCAAGAACTGGAGCGTCTCCAGGTAAAAGAACTGGAGCGTCTCCAATTTTTTTAAAGCTGTTAAATTGCTCACTTTAAAGAAGTGGAGCTTCGAAAGCATCCAGAACCCCCAGTCAGCATTTTTAGGCTGAGGATATGCAGAAAACATAATTAGGGAATCATTCAGAAGACGAATCATTGCTGAAAACATCCACCAGGAAGCATCAAGTTCTCTGTGAGAAACAGCAGGTATCCGACAAACAGCTGACCTGGCTACTATCTTTCAGAAGAAACTACTTTATTGGGTTGCTGTAAGATAAAATGGAGGTGCCATCCACCCTTTTCATATGGCATACAAACTAAAAACAAGGACTGGGCCTGCAGCAGGGTTTAAAAAAGAGGTCTCAGCACTGATGAGTGAATGAATATGGAGCTTCTCCATATGACTCGCCTTGACCCAGGAGATGAGTCACCCATCCGTCTGGAAATACCCCAATCTTTTTCAACCATAAAGATCATCAACATCTCTTAGCTGGAACTACCCAGAAGAAGAAGCAACACCCTCCCTCCCCTATCAATTTACATACATCCGCACAGTAAAACTACCACCAGCAACTGGACTCGATTTAGCCAAGCGTTTAAAGTATCCCATGAATGTGGCGGGCAAAATCCGCCAAGTTTTCTAAATAGGAAACCAGCTGGAATTAACAATCCAGGCAGCTCTATTCTTGGAGGAGTAATTCCTTCAGCCTGCATGAAACTAGCCAGGCTTGGAACTGCTGCAGGCTCTTGCAGAAGGTTAGAAATATTAAGGCTGAGTCATATATTTTAACTAGGAGGAAGGGGAGACAAACTCCACCAAATTAAGAGCCGCAGTGGTAGCTATTTTAAAAAGTCCGTCAATAGGACCATGGGTGGTCTAAACACATAGAGTGTCTGGCTATAAAAAAAAAAAAACCTTCAAATTGAAAGCTAAAATTAAGATTCCAGGCCGCCACACAATTTTTAAAAGACAAGGAACCCAGACAGACATAAAGGCATGGCTCAGTGGGAACAGCAAGGCAGCAATTTAGCAGGCAAGATAAGGATTTCATTAAGAGACCTGTGGCGGTTTATTTATATTAAAAAGCATAATATGAGATATAAAGAGATCAAGGGTTGCTTAGTGTCTTGTTCTGGCTGGCCTAATCCTATTTTAAATTCTTATTTAATAAATAATTCAATTTGAATGCTCCCTGTTTTAAGGTTTATTAGAGGAAGAAGGAGGGAAAGTGCAAACTCACGCAAGCAGCGTTCGGATATCTCTTCCAAGAGCAGAATAAGATACAGATGATTTAATAAAGAAAAATATGAAAAATAAAATATAGATATATGTGTTCTAAGCCAAGCATCCCCTTCCAATGCTTTGGGAAAAACTCTCATTTCAAAATATGAATTCATGAAATCTATTTTTCAACATTTCTTTCATTAGTGTACTAACAGTGGGTTCTATAAAATCTGACTTTAGCTATGGCTGGGATACAAAGCAGCATTGAAACAATACAATTTTTTCCTCTCCTTTAGATCTCATCTTAAATCAAACAAATGCCTAAGATGGAGTGTTATAGCAGGTGGCAGCATCCAGCAGATCTTGGCTGATCTTCAGAAAGCAAAACAGATTAGTACCTCATTTGTGTTAATCTGGAGGCCACCAGAAAATCCCAGAGCTCTAATGTTGATTAGGAACTTGGAACAATATCCCAGAAAATGACCATGGCATACTGTCACATCACGTCACGTCACGTCACATCACAAAACAAAACCACACGTATCTAGCTAGTGACTTCAATAAATGACTATGTAACTATAATAGATGGCATAGCTATCTACTAACTATGGTAAACTCAAGTGAGCTTTTCACATATAGCTAATTCTCAGGTTACAATGATTGGGAAAGTGATGTGGTCATAAAGAATAATTATCAGATGACTATATCACTTAGCAAGGTCAAGCCAGACAGTCCTGATTGCTGTCAAAGGTTGTAACCCCATTGTAACCCCGACATGTGGGTCATTAAGTGGGAGATGATGACCCTGAGGATTGTTAAGCAAAGATTTCATGTGACTGTGATTTGCGACCTTCCCTGCTGGCTTCCCCATTGACCTAGCTAGTGGGAAGCTAGCAGGAAAGGACAACACGTTGTTCAGGTGACTGTAGATTACTGCAACTTCATGAGTACAAGCAAATTGCCAAGTGCCCAATTTGTGATCACTTGATTCTGGGGTGCTGTGACAGCCAGAACTTTGAATATTGATCCTAAATACCATTCATTCAACTTTAAAGGGTTGCTGAATGAATGGTCAGTAAGCAACGACTACCGTACATTATTAATAATACTAATTATACATATTACTGTTAGCCAACATAATTGTCAAGTTCTCCCCTCAGAGAAAGAGAGAGATTGAAAATTCCGACCTCATGGAAAACTCTGACAGGATTGTGCTGCCCAGAGATCCATGTTTGAGTTTCTGGTATTTTGGAAAAGTTTTGAATAAGTACGGAATACCAATGCCACTCTATGAAGCCTTTCTTGGATTATTTATTTAATTTATTTCTTGATTTCTCAAATGTATATAGTTGCCCATCTCGCAAATGTGACTGGGCTGGGTGCACCAAAAGCAAAATAATAAAAACAGATCTTAAAATAACCCTACGAATAAGGAACACATACGTAACATGGGAGACTGTTTAAAAACCCAGACAAAAAGAGAGACATCTTGCAAGCTCCTGATCCTAAGGGATCCCCAGGCCTGCTGGAAAAAGACACATATTGAGATATCTCTGGAAGGCCAATAGGGTTGGGGCTATTCTCACTTCAGGAGAGATGATGTTCCAAAGGACTGGCACTATGTCAGAAAGGGCTCCTCTCCTGGTCCTGTCAGATGGAATGTTTCAGGAGACATGCCCTTCCTGCCTGACCTGATGGGGTGGGTAGATACGACTGGGAAGAAGTGGTCCCTCAAATATCCTGATCCTATGCCATGTAGGGCTTTAAAGCAGGGGTTCCCAACCCCCGGGCTGCGGCCCACCACTGGACTGTGTCCTATTCACAACTGGGCCACATGAGCGGTGGGCCGGTGGGCAAGCGTGCAGCTCAACCTGCACAAGCGGTGGAGGAGGGTCCATGTGCACGCATGTGTGCACGAACTGGGCCATGCCTGCATGGCCCAGTTCCCCTTTCCCCACAGCCGGGCTACCAAGCCGCAAAGGTTGGGGACCGCTGCTTTAAAGGACAAAACCAGCGCCTTGCATTGAACCTGGAAGCAAACTGGCAACGTAGCTCATGGAGCAGAGGTGCAACACGTTTCGCTCTAGGGATGCCTATAGCTACCTACCCCATAGACCAAGGGTCCCCAACCCCCAAGCTGTGGCCCAGTACTGGGCTGTGGCCTGTCCGGAACTGGGTCTTTGCGAGTTTCAGTTTCAGTTTTATTAAATTTTTATACCGCCCTTCTCCCAGGGGACTCAGGGCGGTGTACAGCCAAGATAAAACCCACAATATAAAAGTTAAAAACAATTTAAAATTATTAAATAGTTTTGGCTGATCATCTAAAATACAATAACCCATTAAAAATATTTAGGCCAGCCCTGCTTGATGGAATAATAGCGTTTTAAGGGCGCGGCGAAAGGTACAGAGGTCGGAAATCTGACGAATCTCTGGGGGCAGCGTTCCAAAGGGCGGGTGCCCCCACAGAGAAGGCTCTCCCCCTGGAGGTCGCCAGTCGACACTGTCTAACCGAAGGCACCCTGAGGAGACCCTCTCTGTGGGAGCGTACTGGTCGGTGGGAGGCTATCGGAGGCAGAAGGCGGTCTCGTAGATATCCAGGTCCTATGCCATGGAGCGCTTTAAAGGTGGTAACCAACACCTTGAATCGCACCCGGAAGACCACTGGGAGCCAGTGCAGCTGGCGCAGGAACGGTGTTACATGGGAGCACCGAGTTGCCCCCATAATCACCCGTGCGGCTGCATTCTGGACCAGTTGGAGCCTCCGGGTACTCTTCAAGGGGAGCCCCATGTAGAGAGCGTTACAGTAGTCCAGACGGAAAGTGACGAGGGCGTGAGTGACCGTGTGCAAGGCATCCCGGTCCAGAAAGGGACGCAACTGGTGAATGAGGCGAACCTGATAAAAAGCCCCCCTGGCCACAGCCGTCACAGCCGCACAAATGGAGCTTGCTTGTGTGGAACCATCATCCCCTCTCCTCCCCCACCCGCTTGTCCGCAAAGCTGGAAAGGTTAGGGACCATGTCATAGACAAATATGTAGCTTTGGATCATTTTCCTCAATAAATAAAGAAACAAGTATAATGTTTTTAACTGATTTGTTTAATTGGGTTTTCTCCCCCCCTTATTTTTAGGATATGTGTGGAAAACAGATATTTTAAGTCATATTTATGCAGAAATACCAAAAATTCAAAATAATTCACATACTTTTAAGCACTACTTTACATGCATGACACAGGCCATCGACTTTGCCTTGTTGGTTGCCCTCTCCATGGTTAATTGTGGCTCCTTGCCTAACAAAACCTAAATTCTCCCTGAGCTGGCAATATTTTTTGATACAGATGAGGACCCTCATGTTGCTTGACACTTTAGTTTAGTAAGAACAAAGAACTTTGCCTCTTGCCTTTTTCTCATCGTCTTCTGAGGCTTTCTTGAATTCATGTTCAAATGAGCTTGCCAACTCGTTGAAGAGACCAACTTCCTCACAATTCTTCAGAAAACGCGTTGGTGTTGGAGTTTGATCTGTTTGGCAAAGGAGAGAAAAAAGGCAGTAAGAAATATGTGATTGAAGTCCATGATTCATCCCACAGAATGTGCAGCCAGGATATTAATTTATAGCACAGTTTTGTAACAATGCAGTTATCATGCTAGAAAGTTTGGATTCCATTATTCAGATACTTATGTCTGTCTGTCTGTCTGTCTGTCTGTCTGTCTGTCTGTCTCTCTCTCTCTCTCTCTCTGTGTGTGTGTTCTTCATCCTCCTCATCCTCCTCCTGTCCTGTGCAGAGCATATTGGGCAGAAAATGTTTCAGCCATGTATTAATATAAAACAAAATTCTATGTATTTTACAATGGTATGTGATATTGAATCTGTAACAGAGATAGGAAAACATGTATAAATGAATTGCAGTTTCGGAGGACTGTAATGCAGTAGGAAGTAGGAGGGGCTGGTCAAGACGTGAAGGCAGGAACGAATGAGGGCATTTTAAAAGATCAGAGCAGGACGGCTTAGAAATAGCAAATACAGATTGGCTATATCATAACAGGAGGGGGAGATCTTACAGTAGGAGCATATGAAAGCCCAAGACACTGTACTGCTCTGGATGGTGCTGGGATATGAAGTTCTGCTTCAGAGGATCTCAGGAAGATGCTTCAGTGTGCATGTATAGATGCTTCTAAAAATATCAAGAAGAATGAGGAAAGAATAAGGAATCTCTATCTTATCCAAACAGTGAGACATAAAAAGAACATCCCATTTATGAAGAGCTTCAATTCATTCTTCAAATAAGGAAAAGAGAGAGGGAGGGAGAGAGAGAGAGGGAGAATGAGAGAGAATGAGAGTGAGAATCTCTATCTCTGTGGGGAATGTTTGCTCTTATCCCTCTCAGAACTTCCTTCTCGTCTTGCTCTTCCTTTCCAGCTGTATCATATCAATGACTTAAAAAGAAGAGAGCCAGTTCTCTTTCCCAATTTACAAAAACCTTCCCTGCTTGGCTGCCTCCAGCTAGATTTTTGCTAGATGCAGCAAAGCCACTGAAGGAACAACATTTCAAAAAGCATACTGGTTAACATGAACATCAGCTTTTTCATTTCTGCTTGCCTGTTTTAGGTTTACTTGCAGGGTTTACATTTACAGTGGTACCTTGGTACTCAACTGCTTCAAAACTTATCAAATTTGGTACTTGACACATTTTGATGCAAAAATGTTTTCCAGTACTCGGTGTTTGTTTAGTACTCTATGCACACCATTAGGAAGAGGGGAATGGCTGCTGAGAACAGACAGGAAGAAAGTTGGCCACACTGGAAAGGTCGTTGAAAACGGACAGACAGAAAAATATTTCCAGCTGAAAGAAAGAGTCACGTGATAAGTCATGTGGTTTGTTTGGGACTTGTCCTTTTTTAATACTTGTCACACCAATTAGCGATGTGTACCGAGATACCACTGTATATGTTGCAGTGAAATAAAATTTTAAACATATTCGATGTCAAATGGGATATGTTTTATGATTTGAATTCTGCATGTTTGAATGTGTTTTCTCTTTTGCTTCTACTCATTATACAGAAGAAAAGAGAACTGCGTATAAAGCACTGAAGTCATTAATGCTTGGCCTCTGAATCTAGCTCAGCTAAAAATTTTGAATTTTTAGAATCTTTCCCCCCCTCTTTTTAAATGAAACTGGACATGCTGCATCCATCCAGCCACAGAAGAATGGGATATATTCTGACTTGGATTTTGGCCCACTGTTCCCACCTCTTGTTGGGACATTTTAATAAGCTGGCTGATATAAGCAAGCCCCGGATCTCAGGAGAATCTTTTATTTGTACTTTATGTTATTTGGTGGTAGAGACAGAAACTTGATTTGCTGTCATTGCTAGGGGGAGGCATGCATGAATTGATGTCTGCAAAGGCAAAACAGGAGCTTTGAGTGATTCATCTACTTAATCAAAAGCTGCAACAAAAGAATAGAATAAAATAGAATTCTTTATTGGCCAAGTGTGATTGGACACACAAGGAACTTGTCTTCCACGCATAAGCTCTCAGTGTACATAAAAAATACATTCATCAAGAATCATAAGATACAATACTTAGTGATAGTCATAGGATACTAAATAAGCAATCAAAATCATACTAGGAAACTAAATAAAACAATATAAATCGTAAAGATACAAGCAACAAGGTTATAGTCATAAATAGAAGGAGATGGATATTAGGAAGGATGAAGTAATACAGTCTTAGTAAATAGTTTGACAGTGTTGAGGGAATTAATTGTTTAGCAGAGTGATGGCATGTGGGAAAAAACTGTCCTTGTGTCTAGTTGTTCTGATGTGCAATGCTCTATAACGTTGTTCTGAGGGTAGAAGTTGAAACAATTTATGTCCAGGATGCGAGGGGTCTGTAGATATTTTCTCAGCCCTCTTTTTGACTCGTGCAGTATACAGATCCTCAATGGAAGGCAGGTTGGTAGCAATTGTTTTTTTCTGCAGTTCTATGTTCTATGTTTTTTGCAGTTCTATGTTCTATGTTTTTTCTGCAGTTCTATAGGAATCAATGACAGGCAATTCTGTGAAACAGTCACTGTGTGTATCACAACACACAACCTGGTAGACATCAGTGTTAAAGAATTATACGTATGTATAGATTTTTTGTAATTGTCTATTAGGTATTTACTGGGCGCAAGTGCTAAAGGACACTCTCCTTTGTCCAGCCCCAATGCTCTTATCCTCTTCTACAGTATGTGCACTATTTGCCCAGCAATCCCTTCATACATGAGGAAAAGATAATCCCCCAAAGCATGCTTTCTATTATTGTTATAATTTACTAAAAAATTGATCAGACTAAGTATGATTAGCAATCCCCACAAAACCGACTTGCAACCATTCATTTAATGACCATTTGAAGTAATGAAGGCACTGAAAAAAATGACTTACAACAGGTCCTTGCATTCATGACAGCTACAATGTCCCCTAGGTCACATGATCAAAATTTTGGCCCTTGGCAATTGGCATGTATTCACGACATTTGCAGCATCCTGGGATCACTATTTGCAATCTTCCCAGGAAGCTTCCAACAAGCAAAGTTCATGGGGGAAGCTGGATTTGCTTAATGACCATGTGATTTGCTTGACAGCTGTGGCAAAAAGGCCAAAAAAATTGGCAGGACTCTCTTAATGACTGCATTGTTAGGGACGAAAGATCCCAATAATGGTTATAAGTTGAGGACTACCTGTAGTTCTTCTTACATAATGCTTCAAAATGATTATAGTAAAACAAAATTTTACAAAAGGATCAGGGAGATTATGGCAAAAAAATAAATAAATCCTGCATTTCAGGTCTTACAGTATGTCTGCCAGTCAGAGGAAACAATATTGGTTTATTAATTTTGACTTACTATAAGTATATTCAGGGATTCAAACTAGTTAGAATGGCTTTCAATATTTTTATTTTAAGAAAGAATGAAAGCACTTTTCCCCATCATAACTGCAGTAGCAGAAGAAACGGGGGATGCAGATGAAGGAACTAAAATATGCAAGGACAGCCTGTGTGTAAAGGAAATAACTGTTTAACTGTAGCTGTTTTCTTCCTTCTAGCACTCTTCAGGTATGTTGAGAACTCCCTACATTCTGAGCCAACATGGGAAAGAGAGATGTCTTGGAAAGATTTTTTTTCTCCGTTTGAGACTTTATAACCAAGACAATTTCTTACAAGATCTATAGCCTGTCAGTCTTGTTTTTAAAAGATCCCAAATACAATTGGTAGAAGAGAAGAAGAATGCTCTGTGGCCTTCTCTGTGTTACATGGCCTGCTGCTAGACGGCCAGGAATATTTTCCTCAAATCTGTGCATATTAGGAGAGATTAGTCTGGGCTTTGCAATTGCCTTCCCAGCAAAGTGCTAGGTGAGGTTTCAAATGTATTAAGTGATCACCTAACACTTAAGAAAACTGACGCCTGGGAGTAGAAAAGGAAGCTGGGCTGTCAATTATTGTTTGTCACCCTGAAATTACACAGGATGTATTAAAAAGAACTGTCTGTAAATCTTTCACTTTTAAGGCACAACATCTGACACTTCTGTAATGCATAAAAAGGCAGAAATCTATTTAGTAGCCTTTCTTTCTTTCTTTCTTTCTTTCTTTCTTTCTTTCTTTCTTTCTTTCTTTCTTTCTTTCTTTCTTTCTTTCTTTCTTTCTTTCTTTCTTTCTTATTAGTCTACAAAACAGGTGGAACAAATAATACCTAGTGCATCCAGCTCCTACTATCAATCTTACAATGGGCTAGTGATGGCTAACCTTTTTGCCATCACGTGCCAAAAGCGGGGGGAGCGAGGGGGGTTGCGCGCACACGTGCCCGCACCCATAATTCAATATGCCCTGCCCCCCATGCATGTACGTGCGACTCCCCCACACTCCCCCAGCTATTGGCACGCGATGGCATGGTGATACCGGAAGGCACGTTTTTTGCCCTGCCCAGGCTCCAGAGCCTTTCTAGGAGCCTGGGGAGGGCGAAAACAGCCTTCCCCACCCACTCGGAGGCTCTCTGGAGGCCAGAAACAGCCCGTTTCCCAACGTCCAGTGGGCCCAAATGGCCGGAAAATCAAGTGGCCAGCACACGCATGTGCACTGGAGCTGAGCTAGGGCAATGCTCGCATGCCCACAGATATGGCTCCACCTGCCACCTGTGGCACACGTGCCATAGGTTCGCCATCACGGCAATGGGCTGTATTAAACATTTCCCTTTAAATTGATCTGGAACATGGTGCATACCTGCTATGATGACGGAATCTGTTCTGGAAGGACCGAATTTCAATGTCATCTCATGCTTGAGTTTATGAACAGCCAGGTGATCTTCATTGGTAAATCTCTGGAATGAGACAAGTACATGCATTTTTATCCTAGAATTTTACATTCTGCAGCAGGATTCGGGTTAGGAAAGAAAAGCCCTAAGATAGAGGCTGTAATAAAATCTCTAAAGTGTGTGCTAAACAAAACAGAGCATGACAGATTGTGAGAGGAGTGCTGTGCAAACACAATCTCTCTAAATTGAAGGGGGTGGGGGGAGAGGAGAACCATAACATGCAGGGCTCTCAGCTAACAGAAGGAAATGGATTTAATAATCAAAATTTAAAAAGGGGGGGGAGGCAACAGGGTGTAGTTACTGCAACTCAACTAGGAAACGTGTATTGCTTTCTCTGCAGTACCCTGCAAAATGTGTCAATTTTGTTATTGACTAATGGAGAGAGAAATTATTTACTACTGGCAATGGAGGGGGTGGGAAGGATCAGCTAATGGTTTGAGTTGTGCCAAACAGAGCTGGCATCTACCAGGTGATTTGATCCCGCCGTTTATGAAACATGACAGAACTAAGCTGGCCCAAGATCTTTATTCTAATGGATGCAAGCACAGAGAAATGCAACAACTCAAATCATTGCTCCCAATGAATAATGGCTTGTATATCTTGTGTGCCAGAATATGCTATGCTGCACCTGCAGCGTGATTACAAGAAGGGATTAAGCATAGCTGGTCTCCGGGACCTTGGTAGCAAACATGGACATCCTCCCCTGCCAAGGCCTCAAGGCTACAAGGATGTATCATATAGTCCCGCTAGGACTTCTAAGCAATTTAAAAATGTTGATTAATCGTCTGCATTTTAGCTAACCACTGAAATTCTGTAAAAACAGTTCTTTCTGCAGAACTGAAGAAAGGAAACAAACAGCAGCTATATTTGTTAGAGAAAGATACCGTATATTGTATTCCATTTCCTACTACAGTAAATGCACAAAAACCAGCAGTTTTCTTGTTTCAAAAGAAAAAAAAAAGTTTTGTTACTTTCACTTAGTTGGTAAAACTTAAAATGCCATCTTCACCACAGCTCTACAGAGTAGTTGTTCCATAATTATCAAGTGCCAGGACGAATCAGTACTGTACAGGTAGTCCTTGATTTACGACCACAATTGAACCCAACATTTCTGTTCTAAGTGAGACATTTGTTAAGTGAACTTTGCCCCATTTTATGACCTTTCTTGCCTCAGTTGTTAAGCGAATCACGGCAATCATTAAGTTAGTAACACAGTTGTTAAGTGAATCTGGCTTCCCCATTGACTTTGCTTGTAAGAAGGTCGCAAAGGGGGATCACGTAACCCAGGGACATTGCAACTGTCATAAATATGAACCAATTGCCAAGCACCTGAATTTTGATCACATGATCATGGGGATGCTGCAAAGGTTGGAAAACGGTCCTAAGCCACGGTTTTCAGTGCTGCTGTAACTTTGAATGGTCACTAAATGAACAGTTGCAAGTCAAGGACTACCTGTACTTCATCCTGAGGCTACTCAGAACAAGCTAGTAACCCCACACCAAACTGAAACTATATTCCAAGGTCCCATTTATTATATGTTCTTTCTGTTCTAGATTCTGAAAAGGAAAAAAATGCTTCTGAGTTAACTGAGTGACTGCAACCGTCTCTCTCTGGACAATGCATCTTTTTGTCTCTTTTGACAATGCTCCAGAAGCAGTTCGCTGCTGCTGCTGTTTTCTGGAATGCTTTTTAAAAAAATTCTAGTCCAGCCATAGATATGCTCAAAGCGAAGTAAAAAGGTATTAAGCTATGTAAGTATTAAAAGCAGTTTCTTCCCTTGTGAGCTACAAATCAGGATCCATGCTTTACTCCAGATCCTGCATGTATGCTCTAGGTCAGGGGTAGCAAACTGGTGGCCCACGGGTCGGATGCGTCACGAACAGGCCACGCCCACCCGATCTCCACAAATGGGAAAAACGTTGTGAAATGTCACCTGAGGGCAATATGACGCCGTGGCTTTGACACCCATGCTCTAGGTCAGTGATAGCTAACCTTTTTGCCGTTGTGTGCCAAAAACGGGGGGAGCCCGGGGGAGAGGGTCACACATGTGTGTGCCCACACCTTTAATTCAATGCCCCCCCAGCATGCATGCGCAACCCCCCCCCCCCCCGTCCCCCCGACCCCCCCGCCCCCCCCCCCCTTTTGCCACCCGACGGCAAAAAGGTTATCAGTGGGCCTGGTAGGCCCATTTTTTGCCCTCCTCAGCCTCCAGAGGCTTTCTTGGACCCTGGGGAGGGCGAAAACGGCCTGCCCCATCCCCCGGAGGCTGGAAAAAGCCCATTTCCTGACTTCCAGTGGGACCACAAGGCCCGAAAATCAGCTGGCTGGTGCGCACATGCGCGCTGGAGCTGAGCTAGGGCAAAGCTTGCGTGCCCACAGATACGGTTCTGCGTGCCACCTGTGACACGCGTGCCATAGGTTCACCATCACAGCTCTAGGTGGATACCACTACCTGAGAATCCATACTCATTTACTTCAAGAATGAAGCAGATTATAGGTAGTCCTCAATTTATGACCATTCATTCAGTGACTGTTCGAAGTTATAATGACTGGTCCCTTTAGTTATGGCCACTGCAGTATTCTCACAGTCATATGATCAAAATTCAACTGCAGGGGTGCTTGAATTGACTCCCCCCACTTGTCTCCCCCTCATCTCTACCCTTTTGGATCCCTTGTATTCTCTCACATACCCCTACAGTCTCCTTCCTGCTGCTGGCCTGGGATGCAGGTGTTCTGTGGCGATGCAGCCCTGGGATGTGCAGGGTGAATGCGGCAGGGTAGCAAAGCGTCATCTGAGGAAGGGAGCCTGCCAGGCCTAGCCAGGGAGGGGGTAGCGAGATGGTGAGGCAAAGTACTGTTGGTGTATGGCAATAGCAATAGATTTATATACCGCTTCACAGTGCTTTACAGCCCTCTCTAAGCAGTTTACAGAGTCAGCACATTGCCCCCAAGAATCTGGGTCCTCATTTTACCAATCTCGGAAGGATGGAAGGCTGAGTCAACCAATTAGGACTGAACCAGTTGCAATTAGCCTGCAATACTGCATTCTAATCACTGCGCCACTACGGCTCCCTGGGTGAAGTTGGAGGCTGTGTGGGAGGCAATGTTTGGGGTGGCAGGAGACTGGAGGAAGCGGAGGGACATGGGCTTCCCAGATTTGCAGTGTGCATTCTGCAGCGCATGATGGAAGCGCTCCTGGAAAATCAGCCTGTCTATCAATTCACTTTTCTGTATATTTATTTTGTGATTTGAACCTCATTTATTCTTAGACAAACCACATCAATGGACTTCCTTCATATTAGTCACTCACATTTGCACAATACTCAATCCACATTTGTCACCCATTTATTTTGATCGTATCTTTTCCTGTTTACTCATGCAAACTTAATTCAATCATTTCCACCCCTATTCAATTTCCCTTTATGTTTGCCCTCACATATCCAACTTTCACTTCCATGTAGCAAATTGGGCAGAAATATACTTCTACATTCATTTTTGCTTCTTTTAGCCAATATTTCTTTCAAACTAAGTACTATTCAATACGTTTCTACCAATAATTGCATAGTTTTTTCTATCAAACTTCCCCTCTTCAATAAAATTTCTATTGACTTTGTACATTATTGTACACTGCTACAGCTGTTGATTTTATTATTTACTTCTCAATCCAAAGCTATTCTGGTACCCAAGTAGTGTTTGCAGCGGAAACAAACTATTATTCTTTGTTTAGAAATTAGAATAGTTTCCTGACCAACAGGAATAACAATAAACAATTACGATGCCTTGAATTGAGTTTAAAAACATGAAATGGAATCCCCCCCCCTCCTATTATCAGGCTGAGAAGATTCAGCTTTTGGTCTTATGTATCAAGAATGACAAAACAGTTGTAAAGGGTAGTGGTAATGCAGAGGGAGAGCAGGTGGTAAATTGGTGGATAAATGCAAGTTGTGTACTTCACAACTGAATGGGCATCTAAAGAGTTTTCATCACAACTCAGCCATCAAACCATTAAATTGTACCACTGCTCCAAGCAGAGTTAGAGGAACATCTAGCAGAAAAATGTAAGACTCCATACTATGTAATTACCCATATGAATATTTTGCTAACTGGAGTAAAATATGCAGTATGATTGCTGCATTATTTATTGCACAGTTGAATTCATATGGTTGGTGAAGCTCTTCTATTGATACTGGGAATTGGCCTTGAGAGCTGATCCTGGTCCTACCTTGCATTAACTACCTGGGAAAGAGATATCTGTTCTTATATTCGTGCCACACCACCTTATATCAGCACTGCAAAAAGAAAACACACACCTTTGTTCTACAATGCAGAAGTTTACAAGCTTTGATAGTGTTTTAGTAGCTTTACAATGTGCTTCATGCAAACCGAAACAGATTCAGCTGCTTTCTAATTAATGCCAAAACCTGGAGGCAAATGGAACATTTCAGCTCTAAATCATTTGTCTGCATACAGAAGGCAAAGTGATGGAACATAAAATGAAAAGGATAGGAATTGGAAATACAGAATCAGTATTTTTAATCTCTCTCAAATTTGCCACTTCCAAACTTTGGACAGGCTTTGTCAGGCATGGACAGAGGGAATAATATCTCTGCCAAATTTTGTAATAATATTAGAAAACGGCAATGGCTAGCATTTCGCTTCTATGCAACATAAAAGCACAGTTTGCATTGGGTTTGATAACCCTAAACATGTGCTCTCCGCTTCTATCCGCATATAAAATACTCAGTTTAAGAAAACCATAGGACATCAAAGCTATTTCACTTCTCAAGCCTCTCTTATGAAGTTAAAGGGATTCCTTCAATATGTGTAGATGTGAATTGGTTCCAAGAGACAGAGTATATTCAAAGCCACTGATTACTATTATATATTCAATACAAATATACTCCAAAAGAAAGTCTGAAATACAGATAAGTATCTTTTGCTAGAATAAAGCTTGTGCATGTGAAAAGCAGTACTTCTCAAACTAATCTTTGTTAACATTGCTTTC